TCAGTGTATGTGGCTGGTGCCCTGCTGACTGAACTATGGGCGCTGCTGAGGCACCATTTTCATTAGGTGAGTGTGTTTGGGCAACTTACTTCAGTGCTCATTCTCTTGGTTTCCTTATCTATAATACTGGAGGATAATAATAAATAGCAGGGGTGGTGTGGTAGCTCACACCTATAATCTTAGCACTCTGGGAGGCTGAGGCAAGAGGACTCCTTGAACTTAGGAGTCTGAGATCAGTTTGAGCAAGAGCAAGATCCCATTTCTACCAAAAATAGAAAAAATTAGCCAGGCATTGTGGCAGCCCCTACGTTCCCAGCTTCTCAGGAAGCTGAGGCAGGAGGGTAACTTGAGCCACGAGTTTTGAGGTTACTGTGAGGTAGGCTGATGGCACAGCACTCGACCTAGGGTGACACAGCAAGACTCAAAATGTAAACAAAGTAATAGTATGGCTCGGCACCTGTGGCTCAAGCAGCTAAGGCGCCAGCCACATACACCTGAGCTGGCGGGTTCAAATCCAGCCTGGGCCCACCAAAGAACAATGATGTCCACAACCAAAAAAATAGTGGGGCATTGTGGCGGGTGCCTATAGTCCCAGCAACTTGGGAGGTGGAGGCAGGAGAATCGCTTGAGCTCAGGAGTTGGAGGTTGCTGTGAGCTGTGATGCTTAAAGCTCTGTCTCAAAAAAAAAAAAAAAAAAAGGGCTGCTCCTGTGGCTCAAAGGAGTAAGGTGTCAGCCTCATATGCCTGAGGTGGTGGGTTCAAACCCAGCCATGGCCCAAAAAAAGAAAAAAAAAAAAGTAATACGGTAGTACTCTGGCATAGTTGCTGGGAGAATTAAATAAGCTAATCAAGTGAAATGCTAAAAGCTTGGAACACAGCCCTCTATTTTTTATTGAAATGAAGACCTCAAAATTTGTCTTGCATAATCTTAGGTCTATTAATGAATTATAAAGGATAGCCATGAGAAGGGAAGGAGGGCATGATGAAGCATGTCTGATGTCTCTTCTCAAGGCTAGCAATTCAGTTGTAGGGTTGTCTCTTAGCAAAGAGGGGGTCCACATAGCCAGTAGGAGGTAAGTCTTAAGATTTTATTTATTTTTGAGACAGAACCTCAAAGAGTACAGTGAGTTGGCATCACAGCTCACAGCAACCTCCAACTCCTGGCCTTAAGGGATTCTCTTACCTCAGCTTCCCAAGTAGCTGGGACTATAGGCACCTGCCACAACGCCCGGCCATTTTTTGGTTGAAGTTGTCATTGTTGTTTGCCTGGATTCGAACCCACCAGCTCTGGTGTATGTGGCTGGTGCCTTAGCCACTTGAGCTATAAGCAACAAGCCAAAGATTTTATTTTATTTTTTTAGACAGAGTCTCACTCTGTCACCCTTGGTAGAGTGCTGTGGTGTCAGAGGGCAAGAAAGTGAGACTCTGTCTCTAAAAAAGAAAGAAAGAGAGAGAGAAAGAAAGAAAAATGTCTATTCAGGTATGTTTTTTTTTTAAGACAGAGTCTCCCTATGTTGCCCTTGGTAGAGTGCCATAGCCTCACAGCTCACAGCAGCCTCAAACTCTTGGGCTTGAGTGATTCTCTTGCCTCAGCCTCCCAAGTAGGTGGGACTACAGGCACCTGCCACAACGCCCAGCTATTTTTTTGTTGCAGTTGTCATTGTTGTTCAGCAGGCTGGGCTGGGTGGGTTCAAACCCACCAGCCTTAGTGTATGTGGATGGCACTGTAACCATTGTGCTACGGGCACTGAGTCTTAAGATTTTATTTAGTTGACACATCCAATATGATTGAAATAAGACAGAGCAAAATACTGTTTTTATTCTTTATAAAGGCAGTATGTTTATTCATTATAGAAAATTTAGAAATTATAGGAAAAGACAAATACATGACAAAAATTATTCATAACTGGCAGGGCTGAGGCAGTTTTCTGCATTTTTTTTTCTTTTTTTTGAGATAGAGTCTCACTTTGTCACCCTTGGTAGAGTGCCCTGGTGCCATAGCTCACAGCAACTTCAAAGTCTCGGGCTCAAGTGATTCTCTTGCCTCAGCTTTCTGTGTCGCTGGGACTATAGGTGCCCACAATGCCTAGCTTTTTTTTTTTAGAGACAGGGTCTCACTCCTGCTCAGGCTGGTCTCCAACCTGTGAACTCAAGCCTGGATTCCTAGAATGCTAACATTACAGGCAGGAGCCACAGTGCCCAGCCAGTTTACTTGGTGTGCTCGTGGTGGAAAAATGAGCAGATCCACCAAAAGCAAGGGAAGTGTGAAACAGTGCTTTACTTGAGGAAAAGCAAGATACGTTTACAGAGCAAGACATGTTGGCCATAAACAACAAATGGCCCCCATGGCTGACAAAGTCTTTGGTAATGGTCCAGGATTCTGCTTTATACTGTCTTGAGTGCCCCCCTCCCCCACACTTTGTGCTCCAGACTTACTATGGAACCACTTTGATTAATAGTTAAGGACATGCATATAATTAGCCTATCTCTAACCTGAGTCATTTTCCAAACCCTACTGTGCCTGAGTTGCCTGGCACACAGGTGTGGTAGTTGCTTCCGATAGGATTAAGGTGGGGCAGCAACAAGGAGGGGCCGTGCTTGTCCTTTTTCCCCAAAGGGGCAATCTCTAGAGGAGGTACCAAGGTAAAGCACCCACTTTGTCCCTTAGGAGAGTCTCAAAGCTCCCTTGCTACCTACCTAACAATAACGAAACATCCTAATTTCTAGTTAAAAATTTCAACATATTTGTTTGATATCTTCCCATATAATTAAGGGCCTTCCATATGCACAGATGTGATCTTTCTAAAACTAAAATGTCCTCACCATTAAAAACAATCTGTGAGCCAGTTTTAAGATTTTAAAATTCAAATTCTCACAGTGAATATTTTTAAAGATTTGGAAAATAAAGATGACCCCAAATCTTGAGATTACTACTATTGACATTTTGGAATTTTCTGTTCTGCTATTGAAATATAGCATATAGACTTGAAGGGCTACTTTTATAAATGCCTAGACCTTTGAACATGTGTTTTAAAGCACGGGCCTACTTAAGGGATAGAAAATACAGTATTCCCAGCCCTGCATATACCATAAGGCCTACTTTTCCTAGAAGTTCTGCAAAGCTTACTGTGGGAAGTTGACAACGTGTGGATATATCCGGGTGGTCCTAGTACCAATGCCCCACGTATACCAAGAGATGGCTGTATTTTAAAAACCCTGTTACCTAACAAATGCAAACAGTGTCTCCTAATTCTCTGTACCCTTTCAATAAATCTGAAACAATTAAAAAAAAAAAAAAGCAAACTAATTGTCCAAAACAGTGTGGCCTCCCCTTTAATTATGCACTTTTTTTTTTTTTTTTTTTTTGAGACAGAGTCTCACTATGTCGCCCTCGGTAGAGTTCCGCAGCGTCACAGCTCACAGCAACCTCAAACTCTTGGGCTTAAGCAATTCTCTTGCCTCAGCCTCCCAAATAGTGGAACTACAGGCACCCGCCACAATGCCCAGCTATTTTTTTGTTGTAATTGTCATTGTCAGTTAGCAGGCCCAGGCCAAGATCAAACCCGCCAGCCTCGGTGTTATGTGGCTGGCGCCGTAACCACTGTGCTACGGGCGCTGAGCTCATATATTCATTTTAAAAGTACAAATTTTAAAATGTACGCTTGGTATTAACAACATATTTAAGAAATACCATTATCATTTACACGCTCAAATTGGCCTGAATCTTTTATCCCTCCAGAGCAGTGCGCAATCATAATTAAGAACCATCAAAAACTTTTAAGAACCCTGCAGGAAAAATCTTATCTCACAGGCTCGAAGGTTTCTTCCCTGGCTGCAGATTGGGAATGCCGGCAGTGAAACTCTGACCCCGGCCAAACACCGAACTGGGCGGGACCTCATGGTTCGCTGTGCGCCCCGTGCGCGCCCTGCGCGCCGGGAGCGCTGCCGTCGCCAGCGTGGCGCACAGTGCTGACGCAGTACGTAAGCACGTCGAGCTGCCTCTCCGCCAGCGACGGCGCTGCGTCACGGGCTTTTAGGCGCTTTGCTCTTAGAGACAGCAACTGCTGTGGGGCCGAGCGCTGGCCTCTGGCGCTACTGGAGCCAGGTGTTCGGCGCGATGAGGCGCAGCAAAGCCGAGGTGGAGCGATACATCGCCTCGGTGCAGGGCTCTGCACCGTCGCCCCGAGAGGTGAGCAGGTCTCGGAGAGACCGGTAGCCTTGCCCTACCCTGACGCGGCCTCGCGCAGCCCCGGTGTCATGGCTCCCGACAGCCGCTGCTCCTTGGCGCGTTCCGTTGAGGCGCTGGCCGGCTTTCGCGGTCCGTGGGCAGCGTGGCGCTCGCGAGCGCAGAGGGATGACTGGGGGGTGCCGCGACAGGCGAGCGACCGTTGGCGCGGGTGCTTCCTGTTCCTTCTGGTCTGCTCCAGACCGTCTTCTCTCGCGGGCCCGCCCTCACTCGGACTTTATCCGCGCGCGGCCCGCGTGGCCTAGTCTCCGGGGCGTGGGCGTCGATTAGTCGCCGGTGGGTGCCCTGGGTGCGGTATCCGGTAGTGTGCTTCCCGTCTTCCAGTCTGGCGGAGGCCGCAGCTCTTCGGTTTGGTGGAAGCCAGTGGGGATTGACGCAGCCCCGGGGTGGGCCTTTGCCGCTGTGACGGTGATGTAGCCATCCAGGCAGGGATAGCCACATTTGCAATAGCCGGGCAGTTCAAATGGCATGCGAAGTCTTGTTTTGAGAGGTGTCTATTACCGGGCCTTTATAAGGTCCAGATCCACTCCTCACATTTCCCTGTTTCGCTCCCGAAAAGCTCCTTTAAAGCTGCATTCTTTGGAAGCTGCTTTAATGTGCCTTAGAAACAAACCCCAAAACAAAGCCTTCCCAAAGGGAATGTCGAAATTCTAAATTTTTTACAGACCATTGCTACTGTGGCTTTGAATTTTTAACATTTTTCTACAAGGTGCTCTTAGGTCATTTATCCTCTTTAAAGGTAAAATGTGCTAAATGTGTTTTGGATTCAACAAAACTTTAGTAAATGGAGTTAACAAAAAACAAGCACTCAAGAGTGAATGTGTACAGGGTCTTGGCTTAGTTTACCAGAGGTTGAATAATCACAGCTCTTTTCTTTATAAACTGGGATTTAAGGCAAGTTAAATATTGCATCAATAAAATGAAGTTGTAACATTGTTGGGGTTTAATGGGATGATCCATGTTAAACTTTTAGGGCAGTACTTGACACATAACAAGAACTGAATATATGTTAGCTGCAATTCATTGTTATTTTTTTATTAGTTTATGCAGTTCATTATGTTTATTGCTGATGCTAAAAGGACATTTGTTCAAGGTCTGTTCCTGACAAGGGCTTAAGAATAAAGATTTTAAAGGAATTAAATATAAAAAGAAACTCGTGGATAGTCACGATTATAATAGCAACACAATTATGTCTTTAACCGTAAGTAGGTCTTGGTTTTCTTATTTTGTGCTCTCAACAACCCAGTGGATATTGAGACATGCAGAGATTAAGATTTTTGTCTAAGGTCAGATCGGTAGCTGAACAGGGCCCACTTCATCAGTGGGTTTCCTTTCGTTTCTCTTGGGAACAGTCTTTACAACAGTTTATTCCTCCAGAGAAGAGGAACAGATACTTACATGCGGATTGTGATCTCAAACTACTGGCATAGGCATAAATATGAATGTGGCCATAGAGTCTAAAACCAGGACCTTTACTGAGGATTTCTGTAAGTCCTGAAATTGATGACTGTATTCTTTTATTTTTTCTTTTTAAGCAAGTCTAGAGCCTTCTTAAGATTGTTTTTAGGGACCTGGGTTCCCAAAGATTAAAAATCACTGCTCTCCGCAGAAGTTAGAATGTTGATTACATAGGTAACTCTTCCTTCAAATAAAATGGACTGGGAGAAACTTTTAAGAATTGGGTATCATGGCTACCTCTCTCTTACACTTTAAGTATTATTTAAATCAGTTGTTTTCTTCAAACAAGTGAAATCATTTATATTAGAACCTGGAGATTTCAATGAAATATTGATCAGTTAGTCAGTAAGTTTGAAACATGGGAAGCTATTCTATAAAATTAGATTTGTATGAAATGACAAAACAGGACGCTTTGGATAGCTTGGAAGTGAGATGGCGGGGCAGAGACAGTGACTGAAGAACAGAAAGAAACTACTATATATTTCTCTCCCAATTTGATAGAGGTTGGCCATCTGTAAATTGACTCTGCTTTGTAGAATGTCTTGATTCTGGAGTGTGTTGATATGTTTGTAACCTCATATTTTTCAGTTTTTCATTGTGCTTTCATTTGTTCATCCTCTTTATTTTGCCTTCTACTCCCTCATGTCTGCCTTTCCCCTTATTGAAAATTTCAGTTTTTATAATTTTTATTTTTTCCAGATAGGTTATATTTAGTTTTTCTAGATTCTGTCTAGTTGGCTTCTCATTCTGCACTTGAGTCTCACACCTCAGAGGCTTCTTGATGGCTTTTGTTTATTATATATGTATATAACATATATATATATACACACATACACATGTATTTTTTCTATTTTAGGAGATAGGGGTCTTGCTGTGTTGCTCAGGCTGGTCTCAAACTCCTGAGCTCAAATATTTCTCTGGCCTCAGCCTCACAAAGTGGTAGAATTATAGGTGTAAACCACTGTGCCTGGCCTTTTCTATCTATATATGTAAAAAAATACACACAGACACACACACACACATATATAGAGTCTCACTTTGTTGCCCTTGGTAGAGTGCGGTGACATCACAGCTCACAGCAACCTCAGGCTCTTGGGCTCAAGTGATTCTTTTGCCTCAGCCTCCTGAGTAGCTAGGACTACAGGCATGCTCCACATCACCTGGCTATTTTTAGAGACAGGCTCTTGCTCAGGCTGGTCTTGAACACTGGAGATAGGCAGTCCACCTGCCTCAGACTCCCAGAGTGCTAGGATTATAGGCGTGAGCTACTGCGCCTAGCATCTCTTCTATTTTTTGAGAGATTTCTTTCCCCTTCTAGGGGAAGGAGACTGGGGAACTCTTGATTGAATATCTAGAGTTTGCTTATTCTGTAGGGTGACCAGACTTCCCACTTTTGAACAATTTGTCCCGCGTCCCGCGGGGTTTTAAAAAAGTCCTAATTTTT